GGAATTCAAGAATAATTCAATGTAGGAAAATCAATCATTTTAATATGCCGCATTAACAGAATGAAGGAAAAAAACCCATATGATCATCTAATTGATGTAGAAAAAGCATTTGACAGGATCACAACACCCTTTAATGATAAAAACACTCAACAAACTAGAATATAAGGAAACTTCCTCAACATCCAGGGCACCTGGGTGGCTCAGTGGATTAGGTCATGATCTCAGGGTCTTGGGATCGAGCTCCGGTCAGGCTCTCTGCTTAGGAGGGAGCCTGCTTCCCCCTCTCTCTCTGTCTGCCTCTCTGCCTACTTGTGATCTCTCTCTCTCAAATAAATAAATAAAATCTTTAAAAAAAAAAAAAAGGAAATTCCATAGCTAACATCACCCTCAATGGTGAGAGACTGAAAGCTTCTCTGTTAAGATTAGGAACAAGGCAAGTGTGCTCACTTTTGCCACTTCTCTTCAATGTAGTTCTGGAAGTCCTAGCCAGAGCAGTCAATCAAGAGAAGAAATAAAATACATTCTAAGTTGGAAAAGAAGAAGTAAAATGATCTCTGTTTACAAATAATGTGATTTTGTACATAGAACGTCCTAATGATTTCACACAAACCCTGTTAGAACTAAGAAATGATTTCAGCAGAATTGCAGCATGCAAGATCAACATGTAAAAATCAGTTGTGTTTCTGTGCATTAACAATAAACAAGCCAGGAAGCAAATTAAGAAAACAGTTTTTTTCTAATAGCATCAAAAAGAATTAAATACTTAGGCATAAAGTCAACCAAGGAGGTGGAAGGTTCGTACACTGGAAACTACAGAACACTGCTGAAAGAAGGTAAGGAAGATACAAATAAAGTAAGAAGCATCCTGTGTCCATGGCCGGGAAGATTTAATACTGTTCAGATGTCAATACCACCTAAAGCAATCCACAGACTCCGTGCGATCCGTATCAAAATCCTAATGGCGTTTTGTGTTTTTGTTGTTGTTGTTGTTGTTGTTGTTGTTGTTTGTTTTTGTTTTTTGTAGAAATAGAAAAATCCATCTGAAAATTCAGATGGAATCTCAAGGGATCACAAAGAACCAAAATGATCTTGAAAAAGGACAAAGTTGGAGGTCTCATACAAAACTTACAGCAAAGCTACAATAATCAAAACGGGGGTATGGGCATAAAGAACGACATATTGATCAGTGGAACAGGATAGAGAGCCCAGAAATAAACACTCGGGTATAAGGTTGCATTTGTCTTCTAGGGCTACCATAATGAAGTACCACGGACTGACTGGCTTAAACAACAGGTATTTATTTTCTTACAGTTCTGGAGGCTGGGAGGCCCCAATCAAGATGCCTACTGATTTGTTTCCTGATAAGGGCTCTTACTGGTGTCCACATGACTTTTCCTCTGTGGTGCATGGATTGAGAGAGAGTGAGTGTACTTCCTCTTCTTCCATAAGGGTGGGCCCTTATGACCTCAGTTAACCCTTAGTACTTCCTCACAGGCCCCATCTCTAAATACAGTCACAGTGGGCGTTAGACTACCTTTATGATGGTCACCCATATGACAACCACCCTTCAACATATGACCAGAGGGTCACAATTCATTCCATAACAATGGCCAAATGGTTTTTAATACGTGTGCCAGGACCATTTAATGGAGAAAGATGTTTTAACGAATGGTGCCAGGGGGCATCTGGGCGGGTCAGTCAGTTAAGCATCTATCTTCGGCTGAAGTCATGATCTCAGGGTCCTACGGTCCATCCGGCTCACTGCTCAGCAGGAAGTCCGCTTCTTCCCCTCCTTCCCCTGCCCCTTGTGCTTGTTTCCTCTCTCAAATAAATAAAATCTTAAAAAAAATAACCCCCCCCCAAAAAAAAAACAAATAGTGCCAGGAAACCTGGATAGCCACATTAAAAAGAATGAAGTTGGACCCTAATACTACATACTAAAACAAAACAAAACAATAAGCTCAAAATGGACCAAACTACAAAAATCTTAGAAGAAAATAGGAAAAAAACCTCATGACGTTGGATTTGGCTGTCTTGGTTAAGACACCAAAAGCAGAGGCAACACAAGGAAACAGAAATAAATTGGATTTCGTCAAAATTAGAAATGTTTGTATATCAAAGGGAACTACTGACAGAATGAAAAGACAACCCACAAAATGGGAGAGATTATTTGCAAATCACATATCTGATAAGAGATTAATATCCAGACTACATAAACAACTCTTGTAACTCAACAACAAAAAAAACGAACAACAGGGGCGCCTGAGTTGCCCAGTTGGTTAAGCATCTGACTCCTGATTTTGGCTCAGGTCATGATCTCAGGGTACTGGGATTGAATCCCCCATTGGACTCCCCGCTCTTTGGGGAGTCTGCTTGAGATTCTCTCTCGTCCTCTCCCTCTACCCCTCCCCCTACTCATGCTTTTTCTCTCTCTCTCAAATAAATCTCTAACAAGAAAAAACAACAACTGACTAAAAAATGGGCAAAGGATTGAACATTTCTCCAAAGAAGATACACAGGTTGCCTTAAACACATGAAAGAAATGCAAATCATAAGTAAAATGAGGGGGCGCCTAGGTGGCTCAGTGGGTTAAGCCTCTGCCTTCGGCTCAGGTCATGATCTCAGGGTCCTAGGATGGAGCCCTGCATCGGGCTCTCTGCTCAGCGGGGAGCCTGCTTCTTCCTCTCTCTCTGCCTGCTTTTCTGCCTACTTGTGATCTCTATCCATCAAATAAATAAATAAAATCTTAAAAAAAAAAAGTAAAATGAGATACCACTTCACATCCATTAGGATGACTACTATCAGCAAAAGAGAAAAAAGCGAGTGTTGAGGATGTGGAAAAATTAGAACTGTTGTGCATTATTTCTGGGAATATAAATGGGGCAGTTGCTGTGGAAAATGGTGATGATTCTTCAAAAAATTAGATTTGTCATATGAGTCAGCAGTGCCACTTTGGGGTATACCCAAAACAAGTGAAAACAGAGACTTGAACAGATATTTACATGCTTACATTCATAGCAGCATTGTTCACAACAGTCAAAAGGTGGGAGCAACCTAAATGCCATCAAGGAATGAATGGAGTCTATATACAGTGGAATATTGTTCAGCCTGAACATGGAAAAGGTCATTCTCACACCTGCTACAATATGGGTGAACCTTGAAGACATTATGCTGAGTGAAATAAGGCAGCCTCAGAAAGCCACTTCTTGCATGCGTCCATTGATATGAAATACCCACAGTAGATAAATCCAAAGAATGAAAGTAGATTAATGGTTGCAAGAGCCTAGAGCGAAGGATGAGTGGAAATTGACTCCTTAAGTGGTGTGGGGTTTCTCCTCAGAGCCATGAAAATATTCTTGAAGGCGATACTGGTGATGGTTGGACAATGTCATGAATGTACTAAATGCCACAAAATCATACACTCGAAAATAAGTGACAGTGGCTAATTTTACCATACATATATGTTATCACAATAAGGATATCATGCTACTCACCCAAGAGAAATTCTACAAGTGATGTATACATATTTTTCTCTAGTACGTGTTGAAATAAACACAAAAGCACTGAAACATAAAAACTGGTAAGTATGCAGTCTGAAATGATCTCATGAACCCCCCCACTGGTACACTTTAAGAATACTGGTTTAGGGGTGCCTGCGTGGCTCAGTTAGTTAAGCATCTGTGTCTTCAGCTCAGGTCATGATCTCAGGGTCCTGGGCTGGAGCCCCACACTGGGCTCTGCACTCAGCACGGAGTCTGCTTGAGATTCTCTCTTGCCTCTGCCCCTCCCCCACCTCTCTAAAATAAACAAATCTAAGGAAAAAAACACATTGGTTTAAAGGTTAAATAAGGTATCACTGAATAGGAATTCTGGTTCATGTCTCAGCTCTGTCATTTGTTACCTGTGTGATCCTTAACATTTCTAAGTCTGAGATTCATTATTGCAAAATCAGTATGATCTGAATACCTGCCTCATGGCTGTCTGTTGAGTATTAAATATAATAGTTTGCATAATACTTTTAGAAGCCAGGCTGGTACTTAATAAGCATCAAGGAAGTGATAGCTACTTCTATATTATCATTATCATTATTATTATTATTATTATTTCCTTTATCAGCGATAACCCCCTCCATCTGTCTATGGACCAGGGAGGAGGGTTGATCATAGGCTTGTAATTATGCACTTTATGGAACTTCCGTCACTTCACATTTTGTCCACTGGAGTACTGAGGGGAAATTTGCAAGTCGATATTAATTAAATTTTTTTAGTCTGTGGATATTAAAGGTGATTTAAATCAAGATTCAGTTTGGACAACATAGAAATTCCCACATGAGGGCCTTTAGCTACGGGAGATGTGGATGTTCCCAAGCACAACTCTGGTCAAACCCCACGGCCCGGAGGATATCAGGGATTTGCAGAGCACTGGCTTCCCTAGGGGAGAACTAATTTGCTCATCTTAAATCCAGTCAGATTGAGAAGACCTGCCATGGGAACCCAGCAGTACAGTGAGAAAGATCTTGTTCTCTAGGCTGTGAGCTTCTGCGACCCCATGCCCACAGCATTTTCCTCAAGAATCTGAGAGAACCCAGGGCTGTGGCTCATAAAGCTGTGTGGGTCCCACTCTTCCCTCACAGTGAGGAGCCAGCAGAAAGCACTGTCTCTTTTCAGACCAAATGTCCCTTCCTTCCCTAGGTCAGACAGTACTGAGTTTAGGAAAAAAAATTTCAGAGATTGGGGATCATTTTCTCCCTTCCCAAGAAACTCTTTTACTGCATCCCTCTGCTTCTTTGGGCTTTATTATGAGGTAAGCTTGATGCTAACACAAAGGAAAAAAGGAAAAAAGAGTTCGCCTGAATTAGCGAACACTCAGTCCACAAGCAGATGCTCAGATAGAAGACTGAGGAAAGTTAACATTACTGAAACGAAGTCTCTTGAGATGGTTTTGATTAACATTTTTCTAAAACTTTAGACTGAAAGGTGGGGAAGCAGAGAAATCCTTACCTCATGGCTGCGATGAATCAGACAACGGTTCTGCAGTGTTCTGCTGAGCTGATGGGCTCTTCTGAGATTCCGGCGAGTCTTGAGGATGTTCTGCACTCAGTCCCAACACAGGGTTCTATCAGATAAACAGTTAATGGTGTCAACTGTGGGCGTGTTGTTTCCAAATTAAACTGGAAACCAAGATAAAAACCAAAAGTGGAAACTGAAACTAGTTAGCAGAGTTCCTGCTTGGGGAAAATGAAACAAGGATTGTTTTTCTTTGTTCTGTTTGAAAAAACGGATGGAGAAGAGGCTTTTGAAAGCAGTTTCACTGATAACCCCAATTCCTCTTTCAGGCTCCACATGGCCTTGTGGGGAGTGGGCAGGGGGTGATTCCGGGCGTGTAGAGTCCACGGAGCCCAGAGCCGAGGATGCCTGTGCACATCGGCTTGTGCAAACTTGCCAAGCTCATGCCCCAGATCTGTGCCTCTGTTGGCTCATCTGGAAATAAAGTGTCCCTTTCATAGTATAAAATTCTGCATTTTTTTTCTCCAAATTGGAGTCTCACCCCAGACTTGCTGCACTTATCCAAGAGGTTGTGTTTCACTAATTCTACTCTGCGTTTGTCTTGCATACCCTTCCTAAGAATGGCCAGTGACAGTAAGGGCCTGTGTCTAACCTCTTCCTTGTTCATTGGAACAGGGAGAATGTCTGTGCTAGCATCTTGAGACTTCAAACAGAACTCACTAGACCTTAATGCTCTCCAGGTTGGTGGTCTAAAGTGTTCTTTTTCTCAGACCTGACTCTCAGAGCTGGCAGGAGCCCTGTCCAGTTCTGTCAAGTTCTCTAGATGCCTGTGGCTCTGATTAATTGGCTTATAGAATAACAGATGCTAGGGCACCTGGTGGTGCAGTTGGGTAAGCATACAGCTCTTGGTTTGGGCTCAGATTGTGATCTCAGAGTGGTGAGATGGAGCCCCACTTCGGGCTCCCTGCGCATTGAATCTCAAGTCTGCTTGAGATTCTCTTTCCTTCCTCTGCCCCTCCTGCTCGTGCTCTCTCTCTCTCTAAAACAAACAAATGAATAAATCCTTTTAAAAAAGAATATTAAGGGGAGCCTGGGTGGCTCAGTGGGTTAAGCCTCTGCCTTCAGTTCAGGTCATGATCTCAGGGTCCTGGGATCGAGCCCCACATCGGGCTCTCTGCTCAGCAGGGAGCCTGCTTCCCCCTCTCTCTCTCCCTGCCTCTCTGCCTACTTGTGATCTCTGTCTGTCAAATAAATAAAAATAAAATCTTAAAATAAAGAATATCAAGTGCTTATATAGACTTAGTATTCGTAACAACGCTCAAAAATATAATAGCAATTAATCCAAATAATTTTCAAGTTCATGTGCCCTAAGGTTCATCTTTTTTTTTTTTTTAAGATTTTATTTATTTGAGAGAGAGAGAGTGCACAAAATGAGGGAACCCAGGCCAAAGTCAGACACTTAAACAACTGAGCCACCCAGATCCCCCTACGGTAAATCTTTAATGAATAAAAACTAACTGAATTTAATTAAAAGAGGCATGTTTTCAGAGTTACCAGCATTAGTTGTAATACAGATAAACAACTTCTTCTACCTGGGTTTACTAATCATACAAGGTCATATTACCTCTGTTACGGAATTTGTCAGCAAGAAAGATATGTTAAAGATAACAGTTAGCTGTTTAATGTCTTGTGAAATGTTCATGAGTCATCTAAACATAATTATTAAGAACAAGTGAATTAAATAGTGGTAAGATGAAGTTTATAAATTAATCTCCCAACAATAGTAATGTCTTCAGAAATAGTGTCCCCAAGTCTTTTTTGGTAACTTAAAACCTTAGAGTTTTGCTGAGTTAAATTAGATGATGTAATCATTAAATATTTAAGTCGTTTCTTTTTTTTTAAGATTTTATTAAATTTTATTTATTTATTTGACAGACAGAGATCACAAGTAGCCAGAGAGGCAGGCGGGGGGAACCTGCAGGAGCAGGTTCCCTGCTGAGCAGAGAGCCCATTAAGTCATTTCTTAATAGGATAATACATTGAGACATTGAGCATAAATTTATTTGCTTTTGGCTTTTTAATTTTTGCCATATATATAGTCTCTATGTAAGTTTATTTTCTTTTGGTTTTTTAATTTTTACAGAGAGATTGTGTGTGTGTGTGTGTGTGTGTGTGTGTATGTAGACTTTATATATATTTAGGTCTATTAATAAATAGTTTTTTTGTTGTTGTTTTTATTTGACAGACAGAGATCACAAGCAGGCAGAGAGGCAGGCAAAGAGAGAGGAGGAAGCAGGCTCCCCGCTGAGCAGAGAGCCTGATGCAAGCCTCGATCCCAGGACCCTGGGGTCATGACCTGAGCCGAAGGCAGAGGCTTTAACCCACTGAACCACCCAGGCACCCCAATAAATAGGTTTTATGACAAAATAATTAAAATTACTATGAGGAGGACTATACTTCTAGAAGTTATGAAATGTGTTTATAAATTTTCCAGGCCAGGATTGTTGCTTTCTTAGTTTTCACTAGGAAATAAGAATTCTAAGAGTTAAAAATTCTAATTAATATATGTAAAAATAAAACTACCAGGCACAACATTTTCTTAAATTGTAGGTCTGTTCTTTTTTTTTTTTTAAAGACTTTGTTTATTTGATAGAGAGAGAGGATGCATACACACATGAGTGGTGAGAGGGGGAGAGGGAGAAGGAGACTCTCTAGCAGATTCCATGCTGAGCACAAACAACCACTGTGGGGCTTGATCTCACGACACTGAGATCATGACCTGAGCTGAAATCAAAAGTTGGAAATGTTAACCAACTGAGCCACCCAAGCACCCCTGTAGGTCTGTTCTTAGTAAGAAACTGTAAGCAAGGTTTCTTTATCCCTAATGTAATCTGCCTGGGAAGCAATGATTCTGGGTTTCATCTTTATTACCTCGTTGATTACTTAGAAAAATTTAAGTCCTCTCTCCTCAAAAAGAGGTGAGGCTTTTGTAACTATATCTTCTTCTCCTTCTACTCCTCCTCCTCCTCCTTCTTCTCCTTCCTCCTTTTCTTCTCCCCACTCCCCCTCCTCCTCCCCTGCTCCTTCTTCTTCTTCAAGATTGTCCATGAAATCCTTTTGTCACTTTGGTTGAATTGATAAGTATCATCTCATAATTTTCTGTGATCCTATTTAGCCATGTGCCCAAACCTTCTGATATTCTTTATAAACCTCCCCAAATCAAATTCTAAATGAAATCTTTTTGACCTGGAAGAAACTTTGGGATTTTTTTTAAAGATTTTATTTATTTGACAGACAGAGATCACAAATAGGCAGAGAGGCAGGCAGAGAGAGAGCGCCAGGAGGAAGCAGGCTTCCCGCTGTGCAGAGAGCCTGATGCGGAGCTCAATCCCAGGACCCTGGGATCATGACCTGAGCTGAAGACAGAGGCTTTAACCCACTGAGCCACCCAGGTGCCCCTGGGATTTTTTTTTTTAAGATTTTATTTATTTATTTGACAGAGAGCACAAGTAGGCAGAACAGCTGGCAGAGGGAGAGGGAGAAGCAGGCTCTCTGCTTAGCAGGGAGCCCAATGCGGGGCTCGATTCCAGGACCCTGGGTTCACGACGGCTGCCAAAGATAGCAGCTTAGCCAACTGAGCCACCCAGATCCCCTTGGGATTTTTTTTTTGAAGAGGGTCCCTGGAGCATGACAATGATCTATTAAATCAATTAGTCTTATCTGATATGTTAAATTACATGGGAAGCATTGTCAAAAAGTACTTCAGCATCTGGGTGGCTCCATCGGTTAAGCATCTGATTCTTGATCTCAGCTCAGGTCTTGATCTTAGGGTCAGGAGTTCAAGCCCAGCGTGGAGCCTACTTTGAAAAAAGAAAATAGTAATGCTAAGCCTTCTTTATGTTATATTTGCATGGAGTATGTTAACGTAATGTTCCAAAAAAAATTATATGAAATTCCTAACATTCTTTTTTTTAAAAAGATTTTATTTATTTATTTGACAGTCAGAGATCACAAGTAGGCAGAGAGGCAGGCAGAGAGAGAGGGGGAAGCAGGCTCCCTGCTGAGCAGAAAGCTTGATGCGGGGCTCAATCCCAGGACCCTGAGATCATGACCTGAGCCGAAGGCAGAAGTTTTAACCCACTGAGCCACCCAGGTGCCCCAAATTCCTAACATTCTGACAGTAGCTAAATGAGAGACTGTTCTTGTAGCAGGACACTCGATGTACCTTGCCTTGCTTCCTTTGATCCACAGCTGATAAAAAGGGATATGCTTCAATTTTACAAAAGCTTAATCAAGAAAGCCCTTTAATCCCTGAGCACTTGGGCAGGAGTTAAGATCAAAGTGTTGTGGTTTGATGTAAGAGTGCCCAGCTCACTGCCCATCTAAGCTTCCTCAGAGGCATTCTGAACTAGCCAGAAAGTTCTGTGTAAATAAATACTTTTCAATACCTGAGATGGGTTTATCCATGTGTTCTGACAAATGCTCAGGCCATAAGCAAATGCCAAACACACAAATTACAAAAGCTCTCCTGTTTTGGGAAACAAGTGTCTTTGGAATTCTTGCAAAGAAAAGCAACTGGGTTTGTAATTTTCCATATGCACCGGATAGCATGCAGAGAAGCACACAGAATGTTTGTCATTATTGTGAGTTTGGTAGCGGTCCCAGTTCTAAGAGGCTTTGGCTCAGAGTGAACAGATTTTCAGACTCTTGCCCATGAGTGACATTAGAGAGAGCGGAGAGGAAACAGCCAACAAAGGACACAGGCATACACACCCATGAGTGTGTGTGTGTGTGTGTGTGTGTGTGTGTTTACAGTTGAGAAAGAAAACAAGAGCTGGAGAAAACGAAACTTTCAGAAAATGAAATTTCATCACTAGGTGGTGAGTCCATTAACGGAAGTCTCAGACCAGCTCACTGAGTGACTGACCAGTTGGGATGAGTCGTTTCACCTCCATGAGCCTCAGGCTCCTCTGCTGGTAAACAGGGATTTGGAATAGATGATTGGATCTCAGCCCTCCCTGAACGCTTGAAACATCTACAGAGTTTTAAGAAGAATGATATTGGGGGGGCGGCGCCTGGGTGGCTCAGTGGGTTAAAGCCTCTGCCTTCGGCTCAGGTCATGACCCCAGGGTCCTGGGATCGAGCCCTGCGTCAGGCTCTCTGCTCCGTGGGGAGCCTCCTTCTC